CATATTTCTACAGTGTAGTCAATATCGTGATATTGAATAATGTTCTTCAATTTGGTTTGCTAAAATAGTCCCGGAGAAAATACTGTTTAAACGAGAAGTTGGTCAACCATTCTCTATTTTAAGTAAGATTATAAGTTATAATAATAATAATAATAATAATAATAATAATAAGTAATAAATATCCAGAAACGATTGATCATCTTGTATCAGGTTGCACGATATTGGCACCAACTGAATATAAAACCAGGCATGACAGAGTGGAAAATCTGCAACTTCTACAGAAATTAAACTGAAAGAAAATGGTATGAACACCACCCAAACCCGGTTACGGAGATAGAACCTGTTACAATTCTATGGGACTACACAGTACACACTGACAGAACAATCAAAGCCAACCGCCCAGATATTGTTATTAAAGATCACAAAAAAAGCTGCCTCCTTATTGATATGGCAGTCCCTGTCGACTGCAATGTATCTTTGAAGATATTCAAAAAGCTCTCAAAATACAAGGACCTTGAAATAGAAATATCGAAAATGTGGCATATGGGAACATCAACAATCCCTGTTGTAGTTGGAGCCCTAGGACTGGTTGGAAAAGATTGCATTAGACTAATTGAAGGGATTCCTGGAAGTCCATGCCTCAAGGAGATACAAAAAATGTTCTGACAAGTACAGCCCACACTTTACGAAGGGCTTTATCTATGTAATTTTTTTTTTTTTTTTTGTCAGTGGAAAGTGTCATGATGCCATTTCTAAATTAGGTCCTTATGCGGGACCCGGAAAGAAATGTGTAAACGCCAGAAATCAAAGAAAATAATAATAATAATAATAATAATAATAATAATAATAATACACAAAAATGTGGCGCATGGGAACATCAACAATCCCCGTTGTAGTTGGAGACCACGGATTGGTTGGAAAAGATTCCAGTAGACTAACTGAAGGGATTCCTGGAAGCCCATTCCTTAAAGCAATACAAGAAAATGTTCTAACGAGTACGGCCCACACCTTACAAAGGGCTCTTTCTATGTAAAATAGTCTGTTTTTTATATTTTTATTTTTATTTCCAGTGGAAATTATCATGATGCCATTTCTAACCTTAGGTCTCTGACTGGGACCCGGAAATAAATGAGTACACATCAGAAATCAAATGAAATAATAATAATAATAATAATAATAATAAAAACTTATTACTTCAAGCGTCATATTTAGTGGATATCAGTGTTTCATTTGACAGGCCGGTTTTCAGACAAAATAAATTTGTTTGAACCGGCATGATCATTCATGAGTTTGAATAAACTTCAAAGCGTGTACTTATCAGTCAGTTATGTGCCATGCGTGATACACGTATAGTCGATCATGTAACTTTCGATATATGACTCGCGTGGCAGATTTTTTTTTTCCCGTAGTAGTTTGTCATTTCTTTCTGCGGTAGACCAATTGCCATCCAAGTCTATAGAACCCGGTCTGTCCTGATATTTACCCATAGCTGGGGTGTGAAGAAGAGGAGTCATAGCTTTCACAAGGGTATTAGCACGTAAATTGATGTAATGGATTCGACTGGAATTTGAACTCAGCTCTCTGATTACTCATTCAGAGCCGCTATCCGTTACTCCACCGTATACATATAGAAATATATAATTAGTAATTACTCCTCGTGTACATATAGAAAATATATAAATAGTAATTTTTTAAATGATCTCTTGTAGATACACTCCGGATTTGAACCCAATCGAAAACCTTTGGAGTATCATGAAGCGAAGACTGTACGCCAACGGACTACAATTCAAGAGCAACGCTGAGTTGTGGGAAGCAATTCTTGACATATCTCGCGGCATTACAGCAGATGACATCCTACAATTAACAAATTCTATGGATCGTAGACTTCTTCAAGTAATTTTAAAACTGGGAAAGAACATTCCCTATTTATTTGTTTAAAACTGTGCCTTTGTTTGTATCTGTTATTATTTGTTTGATTATCTTATTTATTAGGTTCATTTGATCATAAACATTCACGTGCAACGTTAATAAACGTTTGGTTTGCTCAATTCTGGGAATTTTACTAAACCTTTCTAATAATTTGGCACTCTACAATCACCGTGCTGATAACAAATATGGCGCCAGTTTGTTTACATTGCGCAGATCAGTACGAGAAATTCAGGGATTGCGCAGGTTAGTATCGCCAACGTTGTGTGAAAATTTTGTGTGAATTGATTGGAGGGTTTTTTGAAATATTAGAAAAAAATTTATCTCGATAATAATTTGGCACGCAATGTATATAAATTCGTCATTTGCTTCAAATTTCAATAGAGTGCAATAACATAAAGTGCTGAATGAAGACTTTTTCTTTCAAATAAATGATAGTTGGCAAATCTATTTGTGATAATAAAAGTTGGATGCACGAACATGTTTTTCGGAGAATATAGTGTCAACCATTCTTTTTTGCAGATATTAAACTCTTGAATATGTTTTTATTTTTTCCTCTGAATTCATAGATTTTGACACAAAATAATAAAATGTTTAATACTGCTAAGAGCCAAAACGGATAATTTTGCATAGCAATTCAGTCAAATATCACATGTGATTACCTACAAATCCCACAATAACCCACGCAAAAAATGTTTCATAAAATATATATATATATATATATATATATATATATAATATATATATATATATATTATATATATATATTTATATTTAATATATATAAAATGTTATATAAAATATATTATATATAAAATATATATATATATATATATATATATATATATTTCTAATATTCTTGATAATAATTCATAGATCATACATGTCATTATGTGTATTGATATCATATATACATTGATGAATACTAGCCTTATATCGATTGATGTCATTCCGTGATTAGTTAGTCGTTATCGATGATTAACTGACATCCATCTTAATGCATTCCGTAGGAGTAATCGATTTTATTCACTGTGCTTTCTTAATACGTATTAAAAAATAATCAAAAGCAATATATTGGCTGGTGATATCTTTGTACAACCTTTGAATTTCTGGTACATTTATCCCATGAGATGTCAGCCTAAACGAAGCAATTACTGAGATAAATGGATTCGTTTTTCAGCAACACGAGATATATCACTGGACAGCCGTATATATACTGTATATGAGCACATCAGTATTCTTTCATATATTGACAAGAGATATGTTCGATTCTAAAGAACTAAACATTTTATGTTAGGAATAGACGTACATACCAGGGATGCTTAAAATATGTCTCCTCGAATAATACATTGAAACGAATTTCGAAGACTTTTGTAAAATAGATTCAACACCTTGTTTATATATGAACAAATAGTGTCAAAATTGAATGATGTATAGCAAGTTCATCACACATAATGAGTTAAAAGTACAGTGTCATTGATATTCAAATTGCAGTGCGTAAGTACGAATTTCTTAAGGAGTAAGTCAAGCCACCACCATTTTGTTAGGTATTAGGTCAAGCGACCAATAATTGGACAGAAAATCAACATCCTAAATCAAACGTTACAAACAAATATGACGCAAGATAACGCTATCCAACACAGAAACTATAATCTGGAATCCGAATGAAAGCGGTTAATTTACATGCGCTGAATACATCATAAAAAGGTTGGCACATTTAATGGAATTTTTTATGTATTTATGTACAAAGACAAGGACATACCAAAAGTTTAAATCATTTCAAAGACTTTTGGGTAATGTGTCCGATTGATTCAGAGCGCATTGTAACCCATATACATACATATATATATATATATATATATATATATATATATATATATATATATATATGTGTGTGTGTGTGTGTGTGTGTGTGTGTGTTTCGTTAAAAGTGACTGAACAGGTTGTGCTATTAAGCATTTATTTAATTTTTCTTGTGTTCGTACAAGTCTTTTTTTATTTTCTGGACACAAATGTGTAATAGCTGTGTAAATAGATGATTATTTTCATATTGAAAGCCACATTTTCACTTAAAACCTTTGATCATTTTTTTACACACTTGCACGAACACAAGAACAATTAATTAAGAAGCTTAATTTCAATACATTGTCAGTCATCTTTAACGAAACATGTATAAAAGAGGGATTGCTGCCCAAATACCTAATATATATATATATATATATATATATATATATATATATATATATGTTAAGAAATGGACAAGGTCCGACAATTTATTTATTAAAGACATTTTTATGTTTAACGTTTGTTATATAGATTTGCTTAAATACTTGTATCTATATAACAACGTTAAACATAAAAAATGTCTTTTAATATATATATATATATATATATATATATATATATATATATATATATATATATATATTTGTGTATGCAAATATATGGATATAGATCCGACAGTATGAAGAAAAATATACGGAAAACAAAACAAAAATCCTAATATGCAATTAACATTAAAGCAGCATAATTGCATATTAGGATTTTTTGTTTTTTTTTTTATATATATATATATATATATATATATATATATATATATATATATATATATATATATGGGTGTGTGTGTGTGTGTGTCTGTGTGTGTTTTATTACTTTGTTTTTTGTTACATTTTTAATACATCTTTCGCTAATCCAAAGAGTTTTCGGATTTTTGTGATGCCTTTCATATCCTTTACTAAAATATTTGCAACTTTTAAATTGTCATGTCCTTCAGAATATAGGCGACTATAGTTCTGCAT